GCAGTAGGAAATAGTCTTTAATAATCTATGCCACAATTAGTTGGCCAAAAGTGGAACTATAAAATGAAGTGGACAAATATGAATGTCTGCCAAGGTCTAATAAGTTAATTTCCTTTCTTGTTGGCATCCTTTGAACCTGCACATCTCCAATTTCCTTTTTGCAGTAGGTTTTTCTTTGTTGTTTATTCTTGGTTCCTCATTCTCTAGTTTTTATCCTCCAGGTTGTCCCTCCTTCTTCCTTCCTGGTGATCATATTAGGAAGAACGTTGGAGTGCTTTTGTTTCTTTTCTTCTAAAAAGGAATCAAATGAATATTTGAACTTTCCATTTACATTTATAATATGTACACAAAGTAATGCAAATTAAAGTAAAAAGCATAAAAAGGCCTGTCAAAGTTTACTGTACCACATGATAACATGATGATTTCATCCAATTTCATTGAATTTTATTGAATTTCATTGTCTTTTTACAGACTGTAAGAATGTAAAATGAAGTCAGAATTTGGATGAAAGAAATGTCAAAGGTTAGAGAAGATACCTTAGTTTCTTTTCTCATCCACTGCTCTAGCTCTTTCACTTCCTCAGCATTAAAAAAGAAAACATTTTGATCTTGAAACTTTTGTGTAGGTTAAACATTTAAAGCAGTATCAGTAAGACCCAGGGTTTTATAAAGAAACATTCTATTAAAAGCCAAACCACAATTTTTCATCGAGTTCAAGTTTGTTTTCTGTAACCCATATTTACAATACCTGGTAACAGAGCACATCAGAGGGATGGAGGAGGTGAAAAAAACTGTTTTTAGTGCCGAATCTTAGAATTCCCCTCAAGATTGTCAGTACGCTGTTGTAAAATTGTGTTTGTCTCTCACTATTCCAATGTATAACATATTTCTATGTCTGAAGGCAGAATTCGTACTGTGGTTAGAATTTTGCCAAAATTCCAGAAACACAGACAAGTAAAATATGTCCATTACGTGTGTTCTTGATAACATCCGGAGGAAAAATACATTCCCAAGCCTAACATATTTTGTAATGTCTGAATAACCTGAAAGACACCATGCAGAACATTTTTTTTCGGTAAAAGGATAATAACGTCTAAATATTTACATTTCAGTGAATTCTCATATTTTAGGAAATGCTCAGAAATTGGCTTGTAAATGTAAAAAATGTAAACAGGTGCTTTGCGTCATTTGCATAAAAACTTAAAATCAGGTACACCTACATTCTTAAATCATTCACACCCTGAAAGACCTTTAATACTAAATATATAATCAAGTATCAGTAAATTATGAATGGTTTTTGGTCTTTTTTATGCCCTTAGAAACCAATGAGCCTGAAAAACCTTTTTCAGAATATACGTCTATAAATATAATGCAAAGATACCCAATTTTACCTGTTACCATATGAGTTTAATATTTTTATAACACTCTAAAATAAAGTATTTACTTAGTGCTTTTAATTTCAATTGTTTTAAGTATATACTTTGCAGTAGTATTTTAAGTGTTTTTATATGAGAAATTATATAAAGAGGGTATGTTGAATTAATAACATTTTTTCTGGATTTTAACATAGCACTTGATTAATAATTTTTGAAGTGTTTTGTACAGTTTCAGAAGAACATATCACTGTCAACATGTCAAAGGAACTACACTGTTTACACATACCTTAAGATCATTACCAGTGACCAAGAATCGATTGCAATGCTGTAATAGAAGACCTGTCAGCTCAAAGGTCAGCTTACTCTCTGTTTTAGTTTTTTTGGGGGGGTTTATGATAAATGGAAAGGATTTCAAATAAGACAGTTCCGTTCAGGATACCCTTATATGAGGTGAAGTCTCTGATTAATGCTATTTAATAAAGCCATAATCAAAAGACAAACCACACAAACTTCTCACAGAAGCAATTGCACACAAACTATGTTTTTTCCTTTAATTACTCTTTGAAATCCAGAGGCCTAGGGATGCACAACATTGTTTCTACTAAATATTAGAAACATCAAAACAAATTGTGTCACAAAGGTGGTGGTACCATTTACCTGTTAGTAAAATGTATACAAGTTTAAAGCTAGATTTTAAAAAGCTTACGTATAATCATCTTTTGCTTTACTGTAAATGTTGAATCAAATATTCAAATGCAGCAGAAAGCATTCATCTGATCAAGAAAATTTGATACAATCACTTACATTAAAATTTTATGTAATCATTAAAAGTCTGTTCTCAGGAAGTTATGGTTAGTTGAATTAAACAGCATGAATCACTAAAGACTTGTAATATTAAGGTATGGTATGTATAATATTTTTTAAAATGATTATGCAATTTACTAACTAGTTTTACATTTCTTCCCATTTCATTTCCATCTCTGCCTCTTATTCAATGCTGTAAATCTTTTTTCCTCAGGGCCTGTGCTATTTACAGGCAGACAAACGTTTTCCATCTGTAGACAAGGGTGTATTCTCCTCAGGAGAGAGAGCGAAGTCTCAAACATTTCCAATTGACAGTCCAATAGGAATGTTATCTTTTTCATTATTGGCATGTGACATGGTAAAAAGCCTGTCCTTTCCTCTTCATGAGGTCAGAATTAGGAACAAAAAATTGACATGTTCAAAAAACTCTACATGTTTTATTTGTATAGTGTAGCTACACATATGTGTTGACAAAACAAACACTTTCCTTGTCTGTAGCTTTAGGAGTTGTCTTCCTAGTGTCTCCTTTTCCAGTATTATATACCTTGATTTTTTTCCCCTGTTTTATACTAGTACGAGACAACTAGTATGTCATGTCACCCTCTGCTATTTCTGCCAGATAACCCACTGCTCTTTCATTATACCCCTGAACGGTATATGAATTCAAAGAGATGCATTTAGGTTGGATGAGATTGCATTTCATTTTGTTATGTCTCACTCACTGTTGGTGTAGATGAAATGAGGTATTTCCTAGGTCATCCCATCTGCTGCTCTTTTCGCCCACTCAATTTTGGTAATAACAAATCACACACTTGGGTGCGATGAGACATTTAGCTATAGTGGAACTTGCTGTGTCAAGATAAGAATACATAGTTACACTTTAGTAAGAACTAGCAGGAGAAAAGCAGAACACTATTCAAGCCGTTTTTCAGAACTTGACAGCCAAATACCACAAGCTTTCGTTTTTACCACGGGTAAAAAGAGCTGTGATGACCTGAATGTAAATGAAGGGGTGGTTTGTGACAAGCAGTGACTTGTCATTTACAGGTCTAGCTTTAAAAATACCAAGTCATGTCAAGGAGCTCAAATTATGTTGTTAAAGCTTCCGATTACACTACATAGTTTGTAGGTCGTCAGCTCTTTGTTTATGTCTCTTAATAAGCAGTGTGGCACTGATTCAAAAAAGTTTGCCCTGAATTACCTACAATTTACATCATCTGCGTGGTACTGTCAAATATTTAGTTGAATCCCTCCTAGTCAGGCTAAGAAGAAAACTCATCTTTCTGTACTCAGTCTGAGAACCTGCTGTGGGCTTTGAAGTAGTTTGAAGTCTGAGCAGGAGTTTTGAAGAAAGTGTAGGAGTATGAAATGAAGTTCACATCTGTAACTCCCCCATATTGTTTCTTACCCATTAACTAATTTTCAAGTTACCATTAGGATTTCCCTTCATTTGATAGCTATAGTTAGCTTTTTCTTGAAAAGGTAAATAATGAGAGAAAATTAATCTAACACATTAAAATATAATTTACCCTCAAGCTCATTCTAATTGGACAATTTACATTTTAATAAGCCAAAAGTAAAAAAAAACTAGAATTCTTGGGTAGTATAACAGATATTTGTAATGGTTTGTGATGACTTTTCATGAAAAAAACAGTTCTTAAAGTTCATGCTTTACATTTAAAATAATTTGCAGTGCCTTTTCATTTCTTTGAAGGGCAGTAAGCAAAGTGGAGACTACACTACTGTAATTGTAGTCTACAGAGCTGGACTCTTCTAAGTCTTTATGCCTATGTAATTTCTAACAAAGTGTGTAAAGACATGATTACTACTTCTATTGAACCAGATAATAGGACATTAGGTATTTGTGTGATACTGAAATCACTTTTCCCCTTAAAAATGCTAGAATGAAATTATTTGACTAAAGTGACACAATAAAGCACCAATGTAAAATGTCCTACTATATTTGTATTCGCTTGTCCATTACTGAGTAAAAATTTGCCAATCCAAAAATTGACCAAAACTAATATACCATCTAAATCCATCGTAACCTTGCTGATGTTTAATTACTGAAACTATTTTGTAATAAATTAGTGCCAGACTGGGACTGGGGTCAGATATGGCCAGAAAGCCTATTTTTAGAAAATGTCTTAAACATGGTATGAATTATTTATGCAAAGGAACAAGTAAAAGGTTTATTTCATGCTGAAAAAAAAAAAGAGAACACAATGTTTCAGCCGTGGACCCTTCTTCAGGTGTGTAATAAAGTAACAAATAATGGTTGAATCCAACCTGAAAAGCAGAAAGAAGAAACATTTTGGCTTACAGTAGTGTATATACTGTAGTTTATAGCAAATAAGGCAGTCCACAGCATTTCTACCTCACTGCACTGGGGCTCTGGGTTTAATTCCAGACCTGGAGCGCTATCTGTGTAGAGTTTATATGTTCACCCAATGTTCATGTGATTTGTTCCAGGTGCACGAGTTTCCTTCCACAATCAAAAGACACAATGGTAGATTAATTGACTTTTGGTGTGTGTGCCCTGTAATGAATTTTGCCAGGTTATGATTTGCTTGCTGGGATAGGCTCCGGCTGTCCCTTGACCCTAAGTTGGATGAAGCAGTTAGAAGATGGATGGATATTATAGAGTAGTGACTGAGAAAAAAGGAGTGATGTATTCAACAATTAAAAAAAAATGCAACTACAAGTAGAAAGACATTCTTAATTTTCTCTCAGAAGCAGATCTGTAAAAATAACCGCCTTCTAAAAAGGTTTTGTTTTCCTACACACTATGCATCAGTGGATCAGAGTAAAAACACCAAAATGCTGATAGAACAATGAACATTTATATCATAATTTACAATTTTGACAAGTTGCACATAAATAACAATGTAAACCAGTTTGTAAACATACAAAACAGTTTTTCCTCTATTGATTGAAGCAGAAGCTGAAGAAACTTTGGTCATAGATCAAGAAAAGCTTTCAACTGCTGTGTGGCTACATTCAGTGGCGCTGTTGTGAATAATGCAGTCAGCAGGGTGACAATCGTAAAGCTTGATCTTTAAGCTATTGCCGAAAAGAATGTGTGAAATTCTATCAAAAGAGTGAACAATAAGGAAGTAGTGTGTCCAGAGACAGAGTAGTGATGCTTTGGTCTGTGCTATAAATGTGAGCAATGGGGAGTTTTAAACACTGAAAAAGCTATATTACAGATGCTGGCCAAGTAACTTAACTATTATTTACATAAGCAGTATTTTCTCTTTTTTGGTATATGAAAGAAACTGAACTTTGGTAACTAGCCTCATATCAGAAAACCCAAGTTCAAATATCTCATTTTGGTGTTGACTGCTTTAATTCTCTTTATAAATAACATTCCCAGTTTTGCAGCTGACATGCTACATCTAAAAGGATTTCTCCTATTCTTTGGGCCAAACTGAAAGCTGGGCTTTTGTACATTTGGTTTAACTCTTCAAGTAGCAAAGCGATAAATATTACAGCTCCTCCCCATCATCACTGGACACACAAATTGAGGTAACTGTTGTTGAAAATATACAAAAATGCCCTTTTGTTTTCAATTAAATTAACCACAACTCTATACAAATACAAATACTGAGGAAGAGGAAAGTCTCACAAGGAAAAAGGAAGTAAAACAAAACACTACACCACATTTTTACACAAATGATCCCCATGGTTCATCATTTCAAATGTCCACCTTTGGCAAAGCAAAAATCCTTTCTTTTTTTCTTCCGTTTTGTAAAACCCTGAATACTGTTCTCATTGTCACTACCGTGCATTTCTCTTTCTTAAGAAAATTACTTCCTAGTGTGACAAAGGGATGTGCAGAAAGTATACATCTATAAAGAATGGCAACAAAAAAATAACATATTCAATTACAATGAATCACCCAGTCATTGTAAACATTATTTCCAATTATTGCTTTTAACAATGAAAAATATTAATAAATTAAGGAAGATATATAATTGAGCAACAACAAAACAAAATCATCTATTAATGATTGTCTTTAACATAAGTGGAAAAAATGACTATAAATAGTCCATATCAATGCCTCTTTAAGCCCTGAGAATTGAGGTCCCCTGACAGAGGAAGCCAAGTTTGCTATGTAACAATGACGTTGACTGCGTACATTGAATTGCTACAGGCACCCTGGCTCTCAAGAGAGTCATAAATATCTTTAATATTTTTAGTAAGATAGGCAGTCAGTTTCAAGGGTCTATGGGTTCTAGAGATTCCTGTTTAACCTTTATAGATAAAAGAGGTAGTGGGCTACTGTGAGGCAACTTGATGACGGAGGTCTCATTGTTGGGTTCGTACAAGCCATAGCCTGTGGATCGCAGCCCATTGCCCATGCTCTTGTGGTATGAAGCCTTGAGGTCCATCTCCCTCCACAGCATGTTAAGGATCTGCTTTTCCACAGCACTCTCCACATCCACGTTATCCATCTCTTCCAAGCGGTCGGCATTGTCACTGATGTCGAACTTTTCGATCTCTTCATTGATATGATTGAGCTCCTCGGGGGAGCGGCCTCTAGGGTTTGGGGAAGCCAGGCAGTTACCCTTCAAGTGGACCTTGAGGCTGCACAGGTGAATGTAGCTATGGTGACAGTGCAGGCACTTGTGTGGCCGGTCACGGGTGTGCAGTCGCTTGTGTAGTTTCAGGTGGACAAATTGTGTAAACTTCGCTGGGCACAGCTTGCACTGGTATGGTTTCTCTCCAGAGTGCAGCCGCAAGTGGGTCTTTAAGTTGCTGGTGCTGCTGAAGCGTTTGTGGCAAACCTAAAAAAACACAAGGAATAAAAAGGGCATAAACTCTCCAGCGTAACGATTAGATTTGGGTTGTTCATTCTTGAAAAAGGACAAATACTACTAATGACTAAATATAATATCATACTAAAATTGAAGCACAAAATAACCCTCAATGCTATTTGTTTCCTTAACAAATCTAAAAGCGCCGACATAAAATGACAAAGTACATTCTAAAAAACATCACTACTGAAAATGTACAATGTATTGCACTCTAAGAAGTGTAACATTCCAGAGGCAGCTGCACTTCAGGGCAAAACTTGGTTTTGTAAGCACAACCCACAGTATCACTGGATTCAGGGATAAGATCTCAAACTGCTCAGCTACATTATTGAAATGGATACCATCAGATCTTTCGAGGATGAGATCCTTGGATCAATCAGCTACTAGTAACCAAATGAGCCTTCTCTTCTTTGTAGCCTTTCTTGTTCATTGTTTGTTCAAATCCTGCTAATGTTCCAAGCTTTTTAAACAATGTGAAATGGTTTTTTACCTGACATTCATGAGGCTTCTCCCCTGTGTGGACCAGATAGTGCTTCTGTAAGTGTGCTAGCTGTGTAAATCCTTTATTGCAGGTTTGACATTTAAAGGGTCTCTCCCCACTGTGGACTCGAAGGTGCACCTGAGGAAAGAAAACACATAAAATTGTGAAGACACTTTCCTATCAATCAAAGAAGGTAAACCAATGAAATACTAGTTTGCCAAAGTGGGAAGCTAACAAGGATAAATGTTATATAGGTGCAATGCCACAATATCTTAATATTTTAATTTAGAATAAAAACAAATGAAAATGTGTGAGAAATTAAAAAAATATATATTTTTTCATGGATTGAGAAAATAGACTCACCTTTAGGTTTGACAGCTGCCCAAAGGTTTTGCTGCAGACATTGCACTCATATTTGATCTTTCCATTCTGCTTCTTCAAGGGATAAGGCAGAGTCTTGTAGCCGGTAATGTTGCGCTTTATCTTGGTCAGGTTTATGGCTTCTTCTTCACTCCTGCTGCTGGCAAGCATGGCTGAGGTAGGTTTTGTAGGCATGCCATGCTCTGAGGAGGAGGCAGCTGTTCCAGCAGTGGGAGACCCATTGCTGGGGCTGGATGGCTTATCCTTGAGGGAGGAGGCCAGGCCAGTGGCAGAAAAGGCACTGTTCGGCGCCGGAATAAGCAAATCCCTGTGAGGCTCAGAGGGGAACAGGAGCCGTCGCCCCCCTTCTGAAGGCAGCATGCTGGGAAGAGGGGACTGGCTTAGCATGTGCTGGGACAGGCTGCCCCCTGACAGCAGATTGCTGTAGAGAGGGTACATACGTGGAAAGAGACTTCCCACTGGCCCAGCACCCAACCCATTCAGGCTGGTTATGCTGTTGCAACCAACTGGATAGTGGGGTAACAGGTACCTGGAATAGTGAGGACTCACTGAGCTATATGAATGTAAGAAGGCAGGGCCAAGGTGGCTAGGTGGGGTATAACCTGGGTAATGACCCAAACCACCCCGGCTGTAAAGTCCATTGGGGAATGGAAAGCCCTCTTTGTGTTCCTGAGAGGAGGGGGTTGGAGGAGAGAGGGTGAGGCCTGGGCTGCTGTGTGGGCTGCTGCTTTGTAGGCTGTGCTCTGGGCTGCTGCGGGCTGAAGGGCTGGGAGTGGCAGAAGACTGAACAGGGGAGTGGGTGACATAACTTGGACGGTCTAAACCATACACAGTATTGGCTTTCAAGTATTCTTCATTGATGTGTGGGCGAACGGGGTAGACCACTCGGGGGAAGAAAGGCTGCTCCAAGCTGGGTTTCTTGGGTGAATCCTGCAAGGACTTTGTGGGACTTGACTGTGGTCGCACGGGGTCTCTTCTTGTTCCCTTCAGGATCTCTGAAACACTGTGTTCTTTCTTCCCTGAGCTTTTCTCCTGGATACTGTCAGTCTCTGTTGCATTTTGCTTTGCTTCCATAAGGCTCTGTTCTGTGAAGAATAAAAAAAGCAATTCATTATTTATTCCACTGAATGAATTTTTATTTGAATTGGTAAATAAAGAAGACACATTTTAGTTGACATTGCATTATGTTGCAATTGAAATGAAACTTAATATTAATAGTATCCAAATTAATTAAATTATCACTCAGTGCAATCCACCACCACCCTTTCCCCCCCTGCCAAGAATCTCAGTGTCGCTCTTGACCATTCTCTCTCCTTCTCTTTTCTGGATTTCTCATTGTTCCTGACACTTTGTCTTCATTACTGCTGGCTCGCCACTGGCTCCCATTTACTTGATGCAGTTAGAGGTTCATGTTTTATTGCCAACCACGGTTTCAGCCATCCTGCTGCTGCCTAAGCTCGTCTCTTATCCCTCCCTACACCTCCTGTTGCACTCTTCAATCTTCAAACTGTACCACACACTTCCAGAGCCCCTTCATTCTCCACTCTCTTTCTCTCTCTTTGGTGCTGGAATGTATTACTCACAGAAATCTGAACAGCTAACCCCAATCAACCTTCCAGCACCTGAAGCTGACTCACAAGACTTGCATGCAATTACTGTAGATCACCTGTAATCTACCAGAGACATTTTTCAGTAATTCTTACACTACATTGTACTAATCTTTTTAATTCTTAAGACAGGTAATGTAACTTGTTAATTGCTCTTATTCACTGTAAACCTGGAACACAAACAAGCTGGGTGTTAACATAACATGGTTTTTTTAGTTCTTAATATTTCATTTTGTTTCTGTGGCACTTGTGGTGCTCTTGGATGAATTAAAAAAACTGATTTCTTTTACATTATTACACCAACGATTGTATGATTTTACTGATTATATTAAGTAATAATTCTTTATACTGCAGGGCACCTACAATGAAAGCATCTATGCAAATAAATATCAGTAGTAATAACTTATCATTTAGACGCTGTGCCCCTTGTTTTGCTGAAGTATGTGTCGAAATCATATATAATTCAGTCTATAAATGAATTTACTGAAAGATGTTTGTTGTAGCTCTGTTATGCAAACTGTATCTTACCACTGTCTATAATTTGTTTTCCAAAGAATTATCATCAACATTAATTTCCCTCGTATTGCTCTAGCATTTTCTTTCACCTTTTGGAGACCCCCGACATGAAAGTTGAATGCAACAAAAGACATTTTACAGTATTGTTTTTTTCTCCACTTCCAGTTTATCCAGTATCAAGTCAGAAAGTCTGTATGAACAGTAGTCCTGAGGTACAGCGATGTTGAAGATGACAGGCATGGTGAGCCAGCTTGTGCCAAACCACAATGGGTGGTTCGCTAGCCAATTCAACCGCTTAGCAATGAAAAACAAGGGTTTGGTGCAGAGAAGGAGAAGGATAATAGGGACGTCATATAGTACTCAACACAACACAGCTAAGTATACGGTATTTGGTGTCTACAATCTTGGCAGGCCAGCTTTGGCAATATTTCTACATTTGTTTATTTTTAAGTATTGTTCAGGCAAGCCTTTTTAACAATATTTTAGTAACATGTGTTTAAACATATATTTTTTTTAATTTAGATACTCTAGGTATAATCAAAATTGACTTTGGAATGCTAGGGAATGCTCTTTTTGGGCATTTTAGCTATAGAATAAGCAAATAAGTGGCCTAATTAGTGGGACATTGACAAATCATTTCAGATGATGAATGAAGAACTATGTACCAAAGGGCAAAGAGAAAATAAAGATGAACTATTAAAGCACTAGAGTGTACAGGCAGCTAAAAAATTGTCAGGAGACAGATAAGATCAAGCCAAAGGCTTATTTAAATATTCTTTTGAGTGGCCTGCAAGAAAAACAGCCAGGTCTCCTTTATACTTCAAACCTCCTTTTTTGTTTTTATAAACTCTCACACGAAGTAGCAGCGCCATGGCGTCTCTTGGAACATCTTTTGTCTGGGGTTTATGGTCCATCCCCTGAGCCTCCCATCAATAACAAATGTTGTCAACAAATCTGAAAAGGTGATAGTTTTTTATGTGGCAGAGGTGGGGGGCACCTGAAGAATCAGTCAGGACCTGTCAATCAAAGTACCTCAGAGGTAAGTCCTCCATATTAAGTGTTTCAAGTTGCCAGATTTGTCAAGGAGGACATGAGAAAGCAGGCCATTCAAAACATGAAAGCCCCTGTCAAACATTTATCACTATGAAGCAAAAACAAACAAGCTTCAGCAAAGGACCTTTTCAATGGATTTCCTATTGTATTTAAATAAAGGGTAAACATGAGCAGCTTTAGCTTTAACCTTAACAAGGGCTGGAAAATGTTACAAATGACCCTTTTGTAAGACAGAATTACATTTACAGTGCCAAAATGTCTCTCATGATGAAATTAGCATCAATGTTTTTTGTGAGGAATATATTAAAATAATCTGTTTTTACATTGATGGCAATTTTTACAATGTAATATCATATTCCAACTGAACTTATAGTCCTTGTTGTCTGTCGCTTGCAACTTCAAATTCTTAAAAGAATGTCATCCGTACTCTCTGGTGTGGACAGGATATCTACTAAAAGCACACTGGAGCCAAACAATGGCATTGATTAAGTTAGAGATAAAGTGCAAAAAGGCTAGGGATTTGTTTTCCATTCTTTAAATTCAGATGTTTCACTGTTAAGGGTATTCATTCTGGCAGGACTTGATTCTTACATGACCATTGAAATGCTTTTTACTATTTTAACACCTCCAAACTAAGGGTTAAGGGGAGGGGGTTTATTTCCACTGCGGGAATTCAGGTCTGCTTACAACAGTGGTGTTTCTGAGTTATCAATGCCTCTGGCTGGGACAGCAGCAGTGAATAAACACAGTAAGTGCCACTATCAGGAAGGCACTGATCAGGCCAGAGATAATGGACTTAAATCTCCTAAGAGAATTAGACAAAAAACAAACAGTGGCTTATCAGAAAGATATCAATCTGTCATCAGGGCTGGGCAGCCAGGAAGTTCAAGTAGTCAATGAAGATTTTTTAAGTGCCAAATAACTGTGCCAAACAACTGGACAGGCTCTAGCCTTGCAACCTCTCCTAATAAAGGTGCATAAATATAAATATTTTAGTAAACAATTAGAAAGGTTGGGTGCCAAACTAATATAGTTTTGTGGGCAAATAGGACTGACATGCACGTCTGCAAATAGTGCTTATTAATTTTCATAACATTTCTCTAAACGGGTAAAAAAAAAACACCTATTTGAGCTTCCTCCCAAATTCAGATTATTTTTCAGTGTAAGTCAAGGCACACAGTTGTTCACCAATGGAAAAGTAATTAAAAATAAATAATATAAAATGCAAAATATATGTAGCTGTCCATTTGTTTATTTCTGCATTACACATCATAGAAAGAGAAGTTCCAAATGAGAAATCATTTCTATTTCTGCAAATGTATTGGTAAAACTCCCTTACAAAGCAAACAGACCTGGTTTTAATTTCTCTCTCTATATATATATAATATTCCAAACTGATGTAGGAAGCTCTAGTCAAATCTTGACAGAAGTAGTACTGAAGATTCATTAACTGCCCATGTATACATTTTTGCTGATTCAGATATTCACTTTTAAACTCTGGTTAGCACCTGTATTGGTATGATTGAGCATATTTGATCCCCCACAGCAGGGAGTTTTGAGATATCACTCACCAGGCTTTACCACTGTGTACAAAGTTAATTGAACGTACTTGTGAAATTACCTTTTATACTCCAAAGAGTGACAAAAACACAGAAAGCAACAGACGTCTAATAAGAGCGGTCTGGTGAAGAGAAAGTATATCTTCATTCTGTATCCTGATATGGAAACTTACTAATCTTTCACAATTCAAATAATGGCTTAGGTATTGTAGATACTGAGCTGCACAAGAAAGGGAAGCTAAAATTTGTCTTGCCACACCTATAGGCAAGGATTTCTTTTACTTTGTTTCAAAGCCCTTCAACACTAGATTTTATTACCAGTTAAGCAACAACAGAAAGTATGTTAAGCAATCTTTTACAAAGAAAGAACATTTTAAGTACAGATGACTATGGCATTACACCAAGTGTGCTATGTAATTAAATACTATTACTAAATCTCTTCAAAAGCCTCTGACGAAAACACCAGTTTAAAAGGCTTCTCATTTCAGGGTCTGAGGCAGTAAAATGTCCTTCTGCTTAAGAAAGTACTTTTGCATTTTAAGCAATTTCATAAAATATGATGCATCAAGTAATCACGGACTTCCCATGTGTTTCTCTTTTCCCTAACTGTTTGTCTCGCTACAGTTTATACCTTTAAACTCAGAAATAACTTACAATAAGGATAAATCTTTGTCTTAGAGGTAAACACTTTTAAAGCTACAGTCTGTGTTAAACAATGAGAAACTGAATGGTATAGAGTTTGATGGTAAAATTAATTTATACAAAGTATTTTTTCCCCCACAAATGTTCTCAGTATAATATTTGTATTACTGCTGTTGAAAGGAAACACTATTGGCATTTGTCATACTGTGTTTAACATGACAAACAAAACAGCAGGCTACATGTACAAGTATAATGAAAATATATCGTAGAATAAAGGCACTTACTGAGCTTCAGCATCATAAGGTCCCCAGAGGGCGGGTAATGCAGACGTTCAGCAAACTCTGGGCAGTACCACACCAGCAGCTCCTGGTTGGCTGGAATAGGTTTGACGGTGTAGAAGTAAATGTTCATTCCATTTTGGCAGGCAGCCAGGTTCTGCTCCTGCTGAGAGTGTGCTGGGTTCACATAACGCATCCAGTTGCTCTTTTCCTCATTGAAACCATCCACAAAGTGATGAAACTCTCCATTGCAATAGATCTGCAAATAAATGTGTTTTAGTAATAGGAAGTAAGTTTTTTCCCAGCTTTAATTACAAAGGTTTTGTCACCCCTTCTCCCACCTAGTATTTCAGCTATACGTTAGGCACTGTATACATGTAGAGAGAAAAGTTAGACCTTGCTAATAATAAGGGGCTAGTAATAGCCATTTACCTTTTCCATCTTTGTAATTCAGTTTATCATTGTGACAAAAAAAGTCTTCCAAAGAATTTGATAGCTATGATTCTACAATCCTCCTGCTTCAACACACACAGACAAGTGGGTGCTACTACTTCTTCAGTTCTGAATGTTCTTATAAAGTACATTGACGTCACTCAAAGTCTCAAAGTGAATCTATAGCCTCAGTCTTTTTTTCTGCATTCTCTCTACTTGCAGTTTCCTCACGCCCCCATACAAGGTTACCACAAAGCAATTCTGCAGCCTTTTTTTTTTGCAAAAGGTTCCTTCTATCTTTTAATATTTTGAATGTTGAGAATACAGAGCTCACATGCCAGAAGTGATGATAGTGGTGCAACAATAGAAAAACACATGCACACTTCCACAAATATCCTGCTTAGGTTAAAACACTAATCAAGACTGCACAAGCCATTAAAGAAGCTTGTGCCATTAATTTTCTGAAGAGAGAAAACAGATTAAATATTTCTCTTATTCAACTATAGGATATTACTACAGTTCCCTTTTGATATCATATGGACGTTTGTTTTTTAAAAGTAATGCAATGAAAAATACTGATACAAAAATAGGAAAAGAACACTACAGCTTTGCCCTTTGAATTAGAGTGAAGAACGGAAAAGCTAAGAAGCAGAAGTATGGCTTCCTGATTAAATATGGTGAAAATGATAAACACACGGGTCACTTTCAGTAGATCAGTAAGAGATGAAGAACTTTCTTTTCTATTTCTGCTGATACATAGCTTCCTGTAAATGAAGAAAGGGGGAAATAAATGTGGTCTCTTCAAAGAGATTAGAGAGAGATAATTCTCTTTGTGGTGTAGTTCTTATGAGAAAATGAATGGAACAGTAACAAGGGTACTACAAGGTGTTAATGTATATTAAGGTAGGGAGGCGGGGACATTTTTTTTGTTTTGTTTACGCTGAACATCTCATTTCCAGGAACACTAGTACCATTACACTGCACACTGTAAATTAAAAAGGAAGTTGCTTTCTAAAGTTACTTAGAAAGCCCGGTACCTTTCCATAGCGTAATTTACTGTACTTGCCAGAAGCATGTGCCACTGTTACTGAATTCAGACCAGTGCCATAAAACTATGAGCACAGAGACAAACACAAGGAAAGTTCATAACAAGAATGAAAATACCACTTATAAAAACATATAGTTCTATCAGTTCAACAAAGGCAGTGCATAGAGGTTTGATGTGTTTCTATACATATAATCCTGAAAATAAACACCTTAATATCAAATGGACGTAACTACAAATAATACCAATGATAAAGCTCGTTCTTTTTTACCTTAGCTTTTTTGGGGTTGTAAATTTGTAAGGAATAAAAAATCTCTTTCACTGTCATTTGGTTTCATTCTCTCTATACGTAAAATTATCAACTACAGCTACAGAAGTGAGTTAATGTCTAATGACAAAGCTTATTGTAAAAAGCATACTGCTATTATTACTATGCACTTTCTGGAGAGCAGACATTGCCTGTGGAGTGAAGTTTAAACCCACTTCCTTGCTGAGTCAACTTGAGCTGTAGACTTGTCTGCAGATTTACCGTCATGAAATACCTATTTTACTGCTACGTCAAAAAGGATGCCGTGTAAAAAAACAGATTCTGTTTAAGTCTTTCCTTTAGGACAGCAATTTAATTCTCAATGCTCTGCCAAGAAAACTTCCTTATACTGTTTTTTTGCTCCAGAATTGAGAAGTATAACCTATATAAACAAATGCAAGTCACCTACAAAAAACAAAGAGTGTGTGAAAGGATTAAATTAACTTCCTCTTTCATTACTTGAGAGTGGTTTGCAGCACACACTGCCAAGTATAGCCCCGGCTGTGTCTTCGTCATTCTACACCAACAGAAAAACTTAGTTCCCAAAAGAGCAGACATTAGCTCAGCTAATTTGCCATGATAACTAATAAGAGTGCTTTAGTGACTTTTTGTAAATATGCAGATATATAGTGTCACACAGGAAGTCAAACCCCTACCCCCTGTGCTAGATGAACAGAACAGGAAGTGACCAATTTATTTTTTTTTCTAAGAATTATGAAAAAGAAAAAATGATCTTGCATCATTCTGAAGCTTTTTTTTTAAAAACACTTACCCTCCAAAAGTACTTTCTGTTTGCATTCTTGGGAACAGTCTCAGTTGTGTATGATTCGCCTACAAGGGGCCCAAAGCGCGTTCCTTTTGGTATGTATTCCTTGCTTGTAACACCAATCACCTAAAAAGAAGAAAGTATTATGTGATTTTTGTTTTCTAAATGAAAGACTAAGCATGTCCCTAAATTAAAAACTGCAGACATTTAGGATATATTAAGCTGTTTACAGACACAATTGATAAAAAGGGATTCTTCGGCCCTATGACCCAAAAGGCATAGAAAACATGCCTGACAATACCTTTTTTTTTACTTAAGGAAATGCATAATATCAAATTGAAGGTTAAAAAAAGTAATTAGTTGAAGTTTATTAATAGTCCAGCACAGAGTTTTAAGGGACACTATCTTTAAACATCTCTTTAAATTAACTACTTTTGATGTGCTGGGAGCCACCATTATAAAACTAATAACAAAGCAACACCACTTTATTTTTTAGCCAATAGATTTCACTAATTTACTGAAGCTAGTGAAAGACTCACTAAAGAGCAGACTGACCATTTTGTGTTCATCACAAAAAAAGGTTAATAATACTTTGACATTTCATTCATGTGCCTTTACTCAAAATATAGGTGAAAATCTTCCCATTCATAGTTTGCCTTAGGTAAGAGAGGCTTGTAAAATCTCCTTCAGTCATATAGGTGAACTCATGAAATGTAAAACTAAGCTTTTTTAATACCTGGACTAATCCATTACTCTGCTCACTGTTGATGAATCAGAATGCTGGTGGGCATTGTACACAGGGTGTGGAGGAAAAAAACAGTCATACAGTTCAGGTGGTTAAGCAGAACATCATTACAGGTAGTGCTGGCAAAACCAATTTACAGGGACCGTAAACCCTTAGCAAAAATGACAAGGTAGGATGAGCTTTCAGAATGTTAGTGAAATCATTTAAGGAAAACAGATGTGACACTTTTAACTATTACTTCATAGTCCAATATGCAGTTTGCTGTTGCAGTGGTCTTTTTGTTACACTCCCTGGTTACTGACTAGAAGAAAACTAAAAGAAACCTTTTGAAGACTATGAAACCTACACAAAACAACTAACTTCAATTACTAAATTATCTTTGACTATTCTAAACACTAGAAAATAGATAAACTGAACAGAATTATAATTATCTAGCGCTGCATTGTTCTATAACAACATTATATACTTAATTTAGTTTTTACCAAGGCCTGTCCGATTGCTCTACATTCTCTCTACATAAATCCGTATGCTCTTTTTTTTCCTTTATCATTCTGTATAGCGTCCTTGGGCTTGGAAAAGAGCTTTATAAATGAAAATTATATGAGACGAAGATAATATAACAATGTCCTTGTATACACTAAATAGGGTATTATTAAAGAAATTACAAATGTTATTAAAGTTAAAATACTCTGTTGTACCGTGCTATTTCATGACCTTTAGGTATGTGCTGCCAATTTAAATGAAGAGGAGGAAGTAGTCGTGAAGGGAAAGCAAATCTGGCTGACCAGTGCCCTCCTGAATTAACAGTGGCCCTTCAGTGTAAACAGGTCACTGACTTCAGGTAGAAGGCTTTAAATAATGGCCAAGTATCAATCCCCTTTTACAGAAGCCATCTTTTGGAAACTTTGAGCTCTGTCTAAAAAAAGGCATCTGTCACCGTCAGTTCAGGTCAAGACCTCAACCCTCCCTAAGCCATCCTCCCAGACTCAAACAGTCCAGTTCCATTTTAATTTCATTTCTTTCTGTAGTCAGGCTACACGTGAAAAGGAACATAAACATTTCCTTTTTTGTTCTAGGATCAAAGTTTACAGCTAGTCAAAAAAAAAATCCATGGCAGTGCATAATGCCCTTTTCATTGGCAATGGTCACTGAAAATCTGACATCTTCAAAGAAATTAATAGCACATTTAAGCAAATGACTGCAATTTATGTTTTGGCTGTATAATAAAAATGGTCTTAGAAAAACAGTCTTAAGGAACAGATAAGTGAAAATATAACAAAATAGCACATCAAAAAAGTATAGCTTTCTAAATACCTTCAGGTTTTAAAGCCTTCAAACGTTTTCTTAAATGACAAAGGAACTGTATGCTTATGATTTAAATTCTTTCAAAGCAGGGATCACTCTTTCTTTATCTTAATCTCTTCAAGGTACAACACCTCTTGATGAAACAAAATCACAAGTAGAGTCAATCACTACTTTTTTATTAGTAATGCAATGAACACTTGAAAGGGAGAGGGAGGGGGAAAGGAATTTCCCCAAAGAATCAATAGAAAATGTTAGTTAAAAGATCATTTTTGTAAATTAGTGCCAAGTCAACTCTCTAAGAACTTATTAACAAAGATTCACAATGTCTTCCAAACAGTCCATCAATATACTTTGATCATCAACCAATGATTTCTAAAGAAGCTTCTCCCAACTCCCAACTCCTCAAAGTGTAAACACTGCCTTGTTTTGTCACAGATTTAACAAATACTCATAACTACCTCTTTTCTCTGATACCACGAAGTTGGCAATTAAATACACAACAGAGCAAAAATGTATTAAGGAGGTGTCCGTGTTAAATTACAAATATTTTTAAAGAAAGATTTAAATTAATTTAATTAATTCCCCAATGCTTGTAACTAGATATATTTTGTTTTTTAGCAATTAGTTAAATGTTTACATTATAATTCAATATAATTGAGTGAGTCTAGCAAAAAAAAATAGAAGGCTCACTTTCGCAAGGTGGTGAGTCTGTTGCGAGCTACAATGTGGTCCAACACATACTGTTCTATCTTTTCTTTTCCTCTGAATCTGTGAGAAGTCTGCATTCCCTTAATACTGTCAAATGGAAACAAGGGGAAAAGTATGTGGAACCTCAACATGGAGGTTTGTTATTTTATCATGGACTAGTTAAAAACACTGTCAACAGAACAGATAAAGGAGATTAATTACAAATATACAATGTGCTGACATAAACTGCTTGGAGACAAACAGTACTTTGTAGAAACTTGTATTACAGTATCATCAAAATTAACGTGACAAGAGATGTCAAATTATATTCACATTACAAAACCCCTATTGTTGTTCTTGATTTGGTGGAGTTCATTGATACCTGAATTCAAGTGTTCTCTTTTGTAATATGTTCTCTGGCAGAGATTGATGGAGCTGTGCACTTACTGACCACACAGAGAGAAAAGCTATTTAGCAAAACTTTTGGGGAACTTTACTACTCATCTTTTACTGTAAATAAAGCAAAAGCCATCTTTAACAAGCTTTAAGTTCCTGAAATCATAGTTAATTGAATCAGCTAGAAGAGTATACCACCCGGTCTTAAACAAGACCGACAGTGGGAAAGTTAAGCAAATGGGTTTTAATTACAGTACCACAACATGGTCTACAGAAATACCTGCACTCTTTCAGATGAGGTTTGGTAACTGTAGCCTCTTTTAATTATATTGAAGCATACTTTTAGCTTAGAAAATCAGTACACTTTTACCAAACACAAATAAAAATTATTTTTATTCTATATAAACTCTAAACGCATTTTATTTTTACACAGAAAACAACATTGATCATTTTAACATTATAATTGTGAAAATGAATCTCATATTTGCTGTGCGTTTTCTACAACAAGCTTTACATGCTGCAGCAGCAGTTTAGGTCATAAACAGAAAACCAGCAGTATTTTGGCCCAAAACTCAAAAGTTTCTATTTACCCAAAACAATACCTACAAATCAGTGTATTTATAAAGAAAACATATATCCACGCTTACCTCTTTGGAGTTAGGTGCATGTTTGAAAAGCAAGTTTCTTGGTAGTGAGGCTTCAGCTCGGGTCAAGCTTCCACTGTCAGTGCTGGATTCCCAGGGATGGTCCTTTACAATGTACGTACACTTCTCTTCAAATTCTAACTCTGTCCACTTTGTCATATCAGCATCTTCCACATCCATTTTCATGGTGAACTCTCCAGTCTCTTGCGATTCCTCTGCAGTTAAAATATCCGAACTATGCTGTGTGGCAGCCTAAAATGAAAAGAGAAAGGCTTTTATCTTCATTGTCCTCCAGCCTGTGGTTTCCTTCGAGACAGAGTGACTAATAGGCAAGTCTGTTGTACTTCAGGATGCAAAAAGGGAACAGTTGGTACAGGCTGAGCAACAGGCAGTGGGGTAGACTCGGAAAAGCATACCCTGAATTCCATTTATGAAGTTTGGGGATGTGCCTCTGTCCTGATAAGAAAATACTTATTGTGAGAAGACAATAGGACTTTTTCTTAAAAGTATTATTCCATCAGATTTAATTATGGAATGTATACAAAAAACTGACGTAGCAAATGTTTAACCAGTTATGATTAAAGAACTTTTGCACAATGGTTCTTACTACATAGACACTTGAGCTACTGATTCCAGTAATCTGATTAGCAAAGCAGCTTTTTTAGCAAAGGGAGTTTTTCATTTATTTGATATTTGTTGCCTGTGACTAGCTTTTAAAACATTTTAACTGGGAAATCATTAAAAGACTGACAATTTAACAAATCAATACAGGAATAAAAAAAACACAACAGACTTTGGATTCTCCCCCAACTTCAGCTTTACAATGTACTTCTTTTTACAGGAAAACCGAAATCCAATTAAACCCCTTTTACGCATGCAGTTGTTCTTGGGGTCATGGCCACTGAGGGTCTCTCCAGACTGTGGAAAAAGTGTCACAAACAAGGGAAGGAAGAGGAAGGAACTGCAGTCTGCGTCTGAATGGAGCTAAAATTGGAAGCAGCGTGCTGCAGGAGCGGAACCGGTAAGCCTTCCTCAAGAAGGGGAGGGAGCAGAAACTTTCCCACCGGCTGCAGAGGCACAAACAAGCATCAAAAACAACCTTCTCCTGACGTCCTCTTTGTATCATCAATGGAGTGAATGGGACTGTAGGCAACAGAAGCAGTTCCTGTACGCGTCACAATGACAACAGACTTTCACGAGTAAACCAGCAATTCCGAAGTCTGTAAAGCACAAAAACTTCCTCTGCAAGGCTCCGGCCAATTTGTGATAATCATTACAAGAAATCTAAACAAATGGAACAGCAAGGACAGTTTTGAAAAGGCAAGTGTTTGGCCACAGTGTTCCGTCACAGAACAAGAAAAAAAGCTGTAAACAAGTTTCTTTTCTCACATCTTCTTGGTGGGATTCTTAGAAGACACAAACTAAAAACATATTCTAGAAGAAAAATAATATGTAGACTGATGAAATGTAAACACAAACAATTTACACAAAATATATACCAAGCATGAACTGGCTTTGAAGATTTTAAAACAGTCATCTGAAATAAAAAGGAACTTAAATGTTTTATTTTTTATAGTGGAACCTTGATTAGGTTTGTAGGGTGTATGATAAATGACAGCTGTACTAAACCATGAAGCAGTAATAATGAAACTCAGAAGTACACCCTAAAGCAAGACTCTTAAGATTTAAAAGGCTAAGACTTTAAGAAGCACAAAAAAAGACTTCGACTCAAAAAACACAAGTACAAAATATGCTATAGACATTGTAATTCTAAAAGACCACACAAAAATAACTTTTTAAATAGTAGTCTGGTGCGGGCTTACTTACTGGAAAACTCTGAGTGGAGCCACACATAGAGCTTAAGAGTGTGTATTCATTCCTCAGCGTGTTAGACAGGTGCTCTACTCACGCCTCTCCCTTGCTGTGGAGAGCTCCTGCTCTGTGTGTGTCTTCTCGCTTGTTAAGGTCTAATCCTCCACTGCCCTGCCTGCTCTGACTCCTCCTCAGGAAAATGATACGCTAACATGCTTTCAGTTCCAAAATGCTTAACAATTGCCTTCCTTTCCAGCTGCTTAACTGATATTTCATTAGCAATAAAAGGGTTTTAACTGACACACCGTGTTGTGCAACCTTTTCCTTGTCACTCCTTCCCACAAGCCAAATCTCTTGTTTTGTTATTAACACTAGTGTTCGGTTTCTCAATGTAGGAGAAACAACTTATAGAACCCTTTTCTAATATCAGAGTAAGTTTAAACGAGGGCAGAACTTCAGCTTACACCGAAAAGGGGTTTAAAATAATTGTTGCTGTTAATAGCTGTAAAATGTAGGACACAAATCAAGAATAGTAAGTATGGCTAATTTTAACCAAGTTTGGTTAATTAAAACTTTCCCCTGGGATCATTTGGACCTAAACTTATTTCTCTCTTATTGCAGACATTATTGATCTTCTCCTTCCTACACAACCATTTGCTGCCCACGGAAGGACATCCTGTGAAGAAGGGAGACAATACCCTCAGTTGTTTACTGCGGGGAGCACAGATTGCCATTCCTGTTTCTTATTACAAAACAAACCACAAATCCTGACTTCCTCTAATAACCCTATGCCATCATCACAGGGACTGTGAAAAGAAAAGTTATGTGGATACTTGTTCATTAGGTGCCACCTGCAAGCTGTACCAGTCTTACTCTGAAACTGAAACCATTGAGAACTGAACATAAGTTTCACTACCCAGATGATTGCTAAGCCCGAGGGAATTAGCTTACATTGATGCCTTGCACTTTTTACGTTTTTTGCCAATTATTGTTTGAATGTTTGTTCAATCAATAGTGATTATATTTAAAAATAAGTCAAGGCAACCAAAAATCCAAACTAATATTTGCTAGGCAATATAGAGCAGAGCACCAAAGTAACTTATGTTACTAAATGAAGTGAATGAAAGTCCTTCTGATAACAATAGTTGCGAGAAGGAATTTTTTATTCGTAGAGTTAGCATAAAACATAAAAATGGCCATTTGTCAGTTTTCACTCTTTTTATATAAATAGTAATCTGCTCATTAATCAGCAGTTTGTGAAGCATGTGTACAACATGTAGCTCTCTGTCTGACGCTGCAGGGTGCATTATGAATAGCTGTATCACAGTATTACATTTTTGTTTGAGAAATCCCCACTGGTTTCCTCTGATGCTATCAGCTCCACTCCAGCAACCGACAGATGCCACACAGCTTCAGCTGCTGTCTGTGTGAGGCATGGGCTAACTGAGGAGGGCTACGGGTAGCAAAGAATAATAAAAAAAGAAAACAAGCGCTGGGGGAGGAGGAAGGGAGGTAAGACCCTCTTCAAACACCCCCCCCCCCCTTCCTCTTGTCAGTGACAGATCTGTGACCACATCACTCACAAGCTCTCTGGCAATTGCTTCCTGGAAGCGGACGACTTGTCCTGTTAAAAACTAAAAGCCTTCGATGTCCCAATACATGGCAGCATTTGGGCTCCAGTTGCAGTTATTACACAGCAAATAGGATTGAGACAAAAAACAAGAATTCCCCTTTGAAACCAAAATGCGGTTCATCCCAAAACCTCAAAAGTTAGACCCATCTCTCTAAAAAGCTTGCCTTATGTATTTAGCCCACAAGACCCCCACCCCCCCCACACACACACACATTTTTTAAAAAACTCAAAAAACCCACTTTAGCTGATCTTGCCTCCTTCAGGGCTCACTTCAGAAACCCACTTAATAAAGGACTGGGGAGGAGAGGGGAGTTGGGTTTGGGTGGGGAACTGCATTGAAGTGAAATTCAAATTGCTCTTTTGTTTATACAATAGTTTAATGTGGCTTCTCAGCCTGGAGGGAAACTCCTTAAAACAAAAGTGAATATCCCATCCAGCTGCTTTGTTATTTTTTCAAGGGTTTGATATCATTTGAAGACTGTGCTTTTGTTCTCCAGAAGAGAGCTAAACACTTGCAGTAAAATATACCAGGCACATGACAAGCAATGCTCCCTCCTGCTTTTAACAAACACATGGGGAGTACATAGGACATCAAGAAAAAGGCATAAATTATTTTCTGTACATGGAATTGCACATTTTTTCAGCATGCCATAAAGCAAGTCTACTTATTTGTTTTTAGAAAACAAACTAAACCTGAATTGTAAAATGTTTTCCATTTTGACTTCAGGGGGAAATAAAACTTAGCCAGCACTGGTTTTTACTTACTGGTTAAGGCTTAACATTCAAATTTTCCAATTGCATGATTTGCATGCACTGCCAAGTATAACCGTATTTCCCTTTACGTTTTACATTCTCTCTTTGTTTTTACCATTATATCAGGTGTACACATAAAATAAAAGTTAATTATAACCAATATCTTTTGTACAGAATTATCTTATAGCTTTAAAAGTGCACTTTCTTTTGTGAAGCTCAAGTTGTTACTGATCTGTTTCATATTACCATTTTATTGTCATTTAATGTCCTTTATTTAGGTGAGGTGGGTTGAAGGGTTACATTTCAATGCCTGACCATCTCATTTATAGCAAAGAAGAGCTCTTCACAAACTTCAACACTTGCCTTATAGGGGGTGACACCAAACAATGACAGAAGCTACCGCTACTTTCATCGGAGTACTTGTAGAAGGAGTGCTTTAGATATTGTTCTGAGAAGGGATAATCCCACAATGGAAGATCCATTAAAAGCATTAAAGAGGTTAGCGGCAACAATGATCCACCAACTCATCCGTGCACAATTACAAATCGATCAAGCTGCCAAACGTGTAGCTGGTCTAATTCTGTGTAATTGCATGTGCGTTGCTGGCTGTTGAACCATGCCTCCTGCCACACGCTGGAGTCAAGGGAGGAGGGCTGCAGGGTAAGCTAGCTTTCCTAATCCCTCAAATCTGACCTACTTCCTATGACAATCTTTGCTACTGAGTTTTTCCTTACCATCTGGAGTGGCTGCTGACTATCCCAGTGAGAGGTGAAGTACACTGCTAGATCAATACTGCGCCCCAGACAGGGCCTTAATCTTCAGTAAGAGCTAATCATGCTCAATTTAGCACACCAGTGATTAAATTGTACTTTTCATTATGGACAACAAGTAAGGCAGACACATGCCACCCAAATCAATTGTGCCTATCAATAGGGGCTGCCAAAAGAAGAAGGAAACATACACAATTAGAAATACCTTTGTTGAACTGCCATCCTCCAGGAGACATACAAATAACAAATGATCAAACTTTAAATTTGTAAGTTATTTTATACACCATAAAATCATTTAAAAGATGCCAAGAAGAATTTCTTGCGTGAGGATCTAATACCTGAAAATATGAAAAGGCTTTTGTGCACATCACTTTTTTTGCTCACCAGCGACACGAAGCGCTAGTCATCCTGAAACTAGCTCGGAGTTAACTGTATGTTTAGATTTCACAAACGTCACAGGCGATAAATGTCATCCTAGGTTCAAAGCTCCACAAATCTCTTTTTTTTTCTATCAAAGGCAGACTTTCAATGTACAGAAATATTTTTTTACACAATTGTCTATAAAATCATCATTTTTTAAAATATATATATATATTTTCCAGATGTTATTTAAATACTAACACATTTGTAGTAGGTCTTTCATTGTTCCGGTAAATAGCCTCTGTTTTCATGAGTCACTGATGGCTCCCCTTTCTATCACATGCTTTTGCTTATGTGAAATCTTAGGCTAAAGTCACTAGGCACACCTCTAGCAAGCACCTCACATAAGAAAACAAAACCTAGTCTTCATATTCAATTTTATACACACCATGTTCTAAAATCACATTGTAACGAAAATAAAGTTCTGTAGGAATGCCTCATACCTTCATGTGCACCTTATGTCACGAAGTTCAAAGCCAGTTTCCAGCTAACTTGTAAATTATTAAGAAGTCCGGTAGAAAAAAATGGTACAATTAATGTGATGTAGGGTAATTGGATATACACTCGCCTTTTGACAGCTGTAGCCTGAAATAATGTTATTGCAGACGTCAAGATGTCATTTGCACAGACATGGAGAAAAGAAACCTCTCGCAAGGATACTTCTCGCAAGGAGTTAAACAGGCCAAAGCCCCAAAACACGTTAAGCAGAGCCCAGCAGGGGCCTAACTGATAAAACGGTGTCAAACCTTAAGCATTTGTCAGAGACAAGAATGAGCGATAGATTTAGGAAGCAAATTTATGTAATAAACTGCACGAATTTAAATAGCCTAGTCTGAAAAACAAGCTGGCCATTCGTCAGAAATACGCATTACTCGTCCTCCGCAATTTAGTTTTTCCAAAAGTCTGACACAATGTCTCAGTTAATGGGGTATCTCATTCTAAATGCATTGCGCCCAAGTATTACATTTATATTATGTAATTCAAGTAATCGCAGTACACTGAACACAACACAGCCCACGCCATCGTAGGAAGACCAATCTTAAGAACTGAGCTCAAGCGTCGTTTCCATCATGTGTTAGGTTAAGGTATGAAACCAGCTTACCTGGTTGCATACCTTCTGACGCTTCAACAAAATATTTTTTTTAAATCATAAAGAGTTCAAATTCGTGGAATGTTAAACAAGGACTCATTATTGCAGCGGTAAGACGTGAAATAAGACAGTATTTCTAGTATTACGTTCACTGTTAAAAAACTGCTGCAGATAAAAAAACAAATACCCACTAACTGTAAAATCCAACCAAAACGCTTCTATATCAAAAGTAAAAACCCTGCAATTAAGATGGAATCACTGTAACTTTTAAGATCTTTTTATAAAGAAGGCAGTAGAAATACGGTATATTGAAATGCTATAACATATTGTACGAAATTAATTTAGATCTGTTAGAATCATTTATAAAAAGACTGATCAAGGCTGAAGAAATTTGTAATAGACTACTCCGCACGGCGCATGTTTTTACCTGTTAGCATTTCCATGAATCACCAGTCTCGAGACGCTCTGTACCAGAGCTCTTATTGGTATCCCAAATCTAAGTTCCCGTCTGACTCTCTTACTTTCCAGTCTGAATGTGCTGAAGGACTGGGAGATAGGATTTTACACTTTCCATATGCAAAGAGCGTCCCCCCACCTC